AAGAGAAGGCTCAGGGGAATCTCATCCATGTACATAAATACCTGAAGGGTGGGTACAAAGAGAGTGGAGTCAGGCTCTCTTCAGTGGTGCCCAGTGACAGGACCAGAGGCAATGGGCACAAACTGAAACACAGGACGTTCTCTCTGGACATCAGGAAACACACTTTCACTGTGAGGGTGACTGAGCACTGGCACAGGTTGCCCAGGGAAGTGGTGGAGTCTCCATCCTTGGAGATATTCAAAAGCCATCTGGACGTGGTCCTGGGCAACCAGCTCTAGGTGGCCCTGCTTGAACAGGAAGGCTGGACCAGTTGGCCTCCAGAGGTCCCTTCCCACCTCAACCCCTCTGTGAGTCTGTGAAAAGTGTTAAATCCTCAAAACTATTATTAAAATAGCAACCTAATATGGAAATTATTTTTACAGTGATGCTGTTGATCTGCTGTCAGTGTCATCTTAAAGTCTGTGTGAAAATTATACTTTTTTTAGAAGACCCTAGCTTGCAGTGGTTCTGAATAGGAAATGCTAGTACACAGTAGGCTGTCATGTCTAGGTAAGATAGTGATTCACTTTGACAAGAGTTTCATTTTTGACACAGTACTCTTTCACACAGTCTTTTCCTAAGAGGAAGTGAGTTACTTTGATTAATGGTGGTGTTTGAAGGAGTAAAAACTTCTGAACGAGCATGTTCCCCTGTTGTAACTTAATTGCTTGAATATTCAGGAATTAACACAGTATTTTGAAAAACTCTATTTCTCAATTTTTCTGTGAAATTAAAGAGCCTGTATTTTGTTACTGGTACAAGGTTCATCAGTGGAAGAACTTTAAGTTGAAGCCTCAGGTTAAGTCCTTGGACAGGGATGAATGTGACAGTTTTGTTCTGCAGTAGCTTTCTTTTGAGATGTGAACAGAAACAACTTTTTAATTCCTTTAAAAGGAGAGGGGCAGGAGGTATGCCAGTCAGCCTAGTTGAATTTTAACTAGTGCTTAAAGAACCTCAGTAAATCATAGCAATAGGCAGGCAAAGAAGAGGAGTTTATATGGAACTGAGTGACATTGGTGTGGCACTTGGTTAAGACAAAGTTGTCTTTCTATATTAACTTCCATATGGCGAAAGTCACGATGTACTAAAAAAGTCTGAAGCTCTCATATGTGTGTGCTTGCCTTGCCTGGCAGGCTTAATAGGAATGAATAGTTCATTTTCTTCTCCTGTTAATGGTTGCTCTTACCTTTCTGGAGCTTTCATCTTTTGGGCTTGAGGTTCTTGTGATTGCATTCTTCTTGAAATAGAATCTGTATGAAGAATAGTTCGACACCATTAGAAGAGATTGAGAAGTGTTTTTTAAAATCAAAACTGCCTTCTGGAAAACACAAATAACAAATAGTACTTGGGGGGGGTGTGTGTGTGTGTGTCTGGTTTTTTTCTTTCAAGACATTTGCAGCCTGACTTGGTAAAAATCAGATACAGGAATATCCTTCATTAAGACTAAATGCTTTTGGGTGTGGTAGAAATTTTAATATTAAAAGAGTTTAAAATCCTTTACTGATTACATGCAGGATCTCTATGAATAATGTTAAGGTAAGAAGCTTGTGCATGTGTAATAAAAGTGAGCAAAATGAAAAATTCATGAAAGTGAGCGGTGAAGTGGAGGTTTTTAACCTCATTCAAGGTACAGCTTACAAGCAGTTGCTAAAGCGAGAGCTGCCCAAGATCAGTGAGAGAAGCTTTGGTTTCCCAGAATCCTGGTTCATACAAAATATGTTTGCACCTTGAACAAGACTTGGCTTTGTAAAAAGCACAGTTGATGTTCATAGGCTTTGTTTGCACACTGCTTTCAGAATCCTGAACAATGTGTTCTGTTGCAATCTGTTGTCTCTCTTGTGTGCACTATACCCTTGTGTGCACTATATGTTTTTAGTGATTGTGTGAGCACTGATTTTTCATCCTCGCAGTCATCTATTCACACTGAAAGTCTGTTGATTGAATGTTTAACTCATGTACTTGAAGAGGTAGAATATTGATGGCACAAAAGTGCTTGGTTCCAAGTTTAAGCCATATGCTTAACCATCTTTGATACCAACCCAGATCACAATATCATATTTATCCCTGTTCCAACAGACCATTACCTCTTACATTAAAATTATTATGAAAACATGAGTGTTATAAATAGACATTAACACTTTTTTTATCTATGCCTGGACAAATTTTGTGCAAATCTGAAAGGTTCTCTTCAGGAAATGTCTTCCTAAACCACTTCTGCTTATAAGGATCAGTGTGGATATATCACGTGCCAAGAAAAGATGCATAACAGGGATGTTTTTTAAAAATTTGTGAAAAACTATTTAACTTCTTTCCATTGCTTAGTCAGGGAGGGAATATGATGTATGAATAGCTGAGCTACTATAATACAGAAATTATTTATTTTGATGTATTCTTATTTCGATGACGGTGAGCAGAAGGATGAGCATCCCTGAACTTGGCCATAGTTGTTAACTTAGTGTTACCTTGTTCTGTAGAAATAAGTAAACTTTGCTTCACTGGAGGCATCCCTTTTGTGTAAAGAATTAATTGTTGATCACTAATCTTTCAGTGAGAGTTACATTATGTCAGTGTCGGTTTAGTATATTTAGGAACATGAGACACGTGGCATCAAAATAAGGAAAGACATATAGCAAACAGCTTTCTTCATTTAAGTCTTGGAAAAGCTGAAGGTTTACATGGTATTTACATATGTACATATATTACACATACTGTCCTAGGACATCTGCATGTGCTATAGTTCTGCTTCATATAGTACTAGGTACTTGTACCGAGTGAAGAGTTCTATCAGAGGAGCCTGAATGATTGTAGAAAGCTTGCTGTAGCAATGGGGCACAGATAATGGAAATAATACATGGGGGAATAAAGCATTGAGGGGTTGAGCATGTTGTTGAGAGGGTAACGCTTAAAGATACCTGCTGAAGTACCTAAATTTTACCAAAACTTTCTTCAAGTTACTTTTCTAATAGTGCAGGCTATCTTTTTTTACAACTTGCTTTCCACATAAAAACTACTTTACACAATCTATTTGTTCTTTTAGATAGAAGTATTAAAAGCTGCAGCTTCTATTGAAGTCAGTGGTAGTATGAAAATGGCAAATGTTGAGAAACTTTGAGTTGCAGTAGGTTTACAGTTCTACCATATTGGATAACAGTGCAGCTTCTGTTGGTTCTCCTCTGTTCTTACCAAATTTACTCGAGAATATTGATCTTTCTGGTCAAGAATTAGATGAAATGACATTGAAGTATAATGTAGTAAGCTTCTTGCCCTCTGTCATAGTTTACCCCCAGCTGGCAACGAAGCACCACACAGCTGCTCGCGTACTCCCCCCTGGTGGGATGTGGGACAGAATTGGAAGAGTAAAAGTGAGAAGACTCCTGGGTTGAGATAAAGACAGTTTAATAGGGAAAGCAAAAGCCACGCACGCAAGCAAAACAAAACAAACCAAGGAATTAATTCACTACTTGCCGTAGGCAGGCAGGTGTTCAGCCATCTCCAGGAAAGCAGGGCTCCATCACGTGGAACGGTTACTTGGGAAGACGAACGCCATCACTCCGAACGTCCCTTCTTCCCCCAGCTCTATATGCTGAGCATGATGCCATATGGTGTGGGATCCCCCTTTGGTCCGTTGGGGGCAGCTGTCCCAGCTGAGTGCCCTCCCAGCTTCTTGTGCACCCCCAGCCTGCTTGCTGGTGGGGTGGGGTGAGGAGCAGAAAAGGCCTTGACTCTGTGTAAGCACTGCTCAACAGTGATGAAAACGTCCCTGTGTTATCAACACAGTTTTCAGCACAAACCCAAAACATAGCCCCTGTGAAGAAATTTAACTCTATCCCAGCCAAAACCAGCACGCCCTCTGCCACCAACATTGAGATTGGCCATGGAAAAATGTAAGCATAAAGAGCAACTCCAGTGACCAGTTTTGAGTCTTAGTCTGTGTCTAGACTACTAAATTAAACATGCCTGGAAACTTTCCTTGATGCTTAGGGCCAGCTGGCTCAAAGTGGCCTGTTTGTGCTGGTGTACGCTCAACCGGTAAAGCAGAGGCTGCATGCAAACTGTCTATTTGAAGGGATCTTGAATCTTTTCACTGCTGAATAGTGCCTGGAAATTGGCTGGGAGAATCCTGGTTGATGTGGGCCAAAAGCATGCTAGGGAATATTTTAACAAATTACTGGTAGCCTCACTTAGTGATGGAGAACACTTCCTGACCTTGCCTTCCTTTTCTTCTTGCACTTTTTCTTCCTGTTGGGAGACAAAGAAAATGGTCAAGGAAAATAACAAGCAGGAGTAAGGAGAGACACTTTTAAACTTCTGTATCAAAGCAGTGGTAGCTCTTAGAGCAGCACTGCCTCGCTTAGTCCAGTTTATTGCTAGCCTGTATCTCTAGAGGAATGTAGAAGCAGGTGGAGCCCAGGAGGAATTGAGAGGGTTTCAGCTGTCTTGCTGGCTTACAAGAATTGCATGATTTTGCTGAAAGGTCTCAAAAGGTTCTTTTGTTTTTAAGAAGTATCTATGAAATGCTATACTAACTTGAGTATTTTTTGTTGGAAAAGTTTCATGTTGTGATGATAGTGTGTAATAAAGGGAGGAGTTGTTTCAGGAGTACAGTGTGAAAGAATGTTTAAAGGAGATAAGCAATTGGCTTATCTAACATTTTGACGACGTACAGGAAGAGAACCATAGGTTTGGTAGAGCCTCGCAAGTTAGAAGAAATTAATGAAGGTAGTGTTTTGGTTTAAGATACAGTCACTTTTGGTTTGCTTTGCTGTCCTGCAAAATGCTTTATTTTACTAAACATTTTTGTCAACTACAAGCCGCTGTCTGCTTGGAGTATTTATTAAGTGGAGAATGAGCACAGGTTTCATAGTCTCTTCTTAAAACTTTCTAAATACCATCCCCAATGTTCTTGCTTAGTCTTTTACAGCTTTATTTTACATGTACAGTTTTGTCTTTTATTTTTGCAGAGGATGACAAATAGCAGCAGCTCCCCTAGCCTTCTCAATGACGGTGCCAAGCAGTATGCAGGCCATGGTAAGTACTTTTAAAGTAATATGTATAAAAGTATGTTTGGAAATTTAAGAGATTCACGTTAGTAAAACTGAGACTTAAATGAGTTCTTCCCCTCTGATTTGATTTGAGATGCAGTTGAACTTTATTTTTTAACAGGAGTGTATTGTGTGATTACTTGTAATCCAAAGTTGAAGTGCTACCGAGCTCATAAATTTTCAGCCTTCTCTTTGCTCCAGTGGGACAAAACTTAAAAAAAAAAAAACAAAACCCAAAACAAAACCCCAAACCAAACCCCAAATCCAAACAAAAAACCCCCGACAAACCAAAAAAACCCAAACAAGCCCCCCCCCCCCCCAACCAAAAAAAAAAAAAAAAAAAAAAAAATCATTATTGGTCTTCTCGCTTCAAGTGAAATGCTAGTTTGGATATCCACTGTAAAGCACTGATAGTTTAACTAAGCATTTATGTTGCTCCACAGTAGTATCCCCTTTTATTGTGCTTTTCAAGTAAGTTATTGTGTGGAAGAAATGTACAGGTTTTTATTCTTATATTTAAGCTGTATGGTTTTTGTGAAATGTATCACATAATATCTATTAAAAATCATCAGTTAAGTTTTGTCCTGTAAGCAGTACTTTACACCTTATATTTCTTTTCCCTGCTGTTGGGAACATGGTTTTCAACCAAACAAAATGTCTCCTTAGTGCAGGCCTATATACTTGCTAAATTACTGTGGAGGGTATGTTGAGCTTCTGTAATGCACTTTTCAGAGTTGCTTTCCAAATTATAACAGGCACTGCAGATTATTTCAGCTATAGCTGTCAAACTAACTTCTTTAAAGAAGAGGATACTACTTCCTTATGGCAAGGACGTACATTTAAAATATATTTCTGCTTGGAAAATTGCTGTTTAAATGATGTTCTAGAAATCCATTTGCATGTCTAACCCTGCAGCTAGTCTACTTACTAGGATTATAATTTTTTAAGCATGGTAGTAACTACTATAAAATTCACTTGCTTGGAAGTTGAAATTTGTGGGTTCTTTCCCCCTGCCCCCTTCCTCCTGGTTCATTTCCAGTAGGTTTTGTGAATAATTCTACTTCTTTGTCCCACTGAACAATTAGCTATTCAAGGCAGCGGAGGTCTCCAGTTTTAAATGCAGTCAGAGTTTGACTGTGACAGGCCAAATAGTGATGGTGATGCATGCGAAGGAGAGAAGCCAGATTGACTTTTGGAAACCAGCTTAAATTCTGTCATGTCTCAGGTCCTTTTCTTCCCCACCTCCCTAAGCTGTGCTTCACTTGTAGAATTACCCCTTTAAGGAGTATTGATTAATGTCGAAGGAAGTGTTTCATCAAAATACCAATGTTTACAGCTGGCAGTCATCTGCTAATGTGACAGTTCTGCACATGCCGTTTGGAGTTTTAAGTTGCATCTGTGATTGTTATTCAGTTTTTGATGCTTCAACTCTGGAAGGGATGCATAGGGATGAAGAAAAAGCAATAAAAAGCTACTCATAGAATGTAGACTTTTGCTACCTTTAGTTCTGACTTAAATTTGTGCAGAACAGTGACAGGACAAATAAGATCCACATCATTATTTGTAAGACTGTGTTATATAGAAGATTACTAATTTCAGGTAACTGGAGAGGAAGGCTTTGAAATGTTAGATGGAGATTAAATAATGTCAATGGCAATTAAACTTACTAATTTCTGCTAATGAGCTCCATTTCGATTGAGCAGTTGCACAGAATCTAATAAATGCCGAGTGTTTTAGCAGTGTGGTTGCTAAACGTAGTTTTGTCAAAAGGATTTTTTTCCATACAGAGATGCTAAAAAATGTAAAATTTCTTTTTAATATTAGAGGTATATAACATGTTGTTTTACATTCTTTTTACAGATCCACTAAATTCACCAAATTCATCCTTGTTTAATGACTTTGCTGCCCTCAGCGTGTCTCAAAGGAGGAAGGTAGGCAACAACTAAATCTGAAGTAGCATATTTGTATATGAGTTGGCAGGGAAGAAGATCTGGAATAACTTGAAGTGCTATGTGAAATAAGGATGATTCTTTTAATGTTACTAGATTTATTTTACTGTGTCGCTACTGATACAAGATATTACTACTTCATTTTTGCTACACCAGATCAGACTGCTGCTGCTATTAAGAAATATTCCAAGCACTTGTAAACTGAAGTTTATAAGAATGCTTTGAATATGAAGATCAGGACATAGCCCATTGAACTTGAAAACAAATTATTTTTATTGTACTGAGGCACAAGACAAGCCACCTGCAGGCCTTCATGGCAACAAGTTCTCAATACATTAAGAATCATTCCCCCATTTATTTATACACAATGTGGAAGTAATTCTTACAGTTTGAAATACGTTTAGTTTGAAAGATATGCTGTAATATTATTGGGAAGCTAGGGTTTGGGATTTCCACCCCCCCTCTAATCTGTATTGAGAAATCTTTCTTTTGCCGAGGGCTAGAAAGCATCTTCAAACACCCTTGACCTGCGCCAACACAGGTTGTGGTGTTTTCCTGTTATACACTTAAAAATGTGGTGGCTGGAAGAAGAGACAAAAGTCTGGTTATGCCTGAGTTCCTTCTCATTTTTGTGAACTGTGGCTTATCAAAAAAGACATCTTGTCCCAACCAGTTACCAGATTTTACTTCCACTGATGACTTTCATGTTTTGCTACTCTTATTAGCCACATGACCCTGAACTTTCCTGTAGTTGATAATGCATTGTCTTGAAAGCATGCTACATCAGCATGTTTGTGACTTTTCATAGAACTTCATTTGTGTGTTGACAGTTAGGAGCTCTGTAACATTCCTGCAGGTGAAGATTGGGCTTAAAGATAATTACCATAGTTGGCCCATCAGACTAATGTTCCTTGAAATTAAATGCTGTTGTAGATTGTTAACTTCCTAATATTATGATGTATCAAAACTACATGGAATCTCTGGATTGTGCTTTTCCTTAATGCCAGTATAGTGCATTGAAAGTTGGATGTAAACAACTATAAATGTATTGTTTATCCACTTACAGAGGATAGTAAGAATGAAAATAAGCATACATTCCTTTCTAACTCAGTCTGCAAGGACTATATATATGCGTGCGAATGTGTTCTTATGTATGTAAACCACATACAGAAAAGAAAATGCACTGCCATACAGAAGCATTACCAGAGGGGCCACTGCCTCTAATATTAAAAAATTACTTCAAAGTTAAAACAGAGCAAATAGAAGCAAACAGAATAAAGTTTGAATGTAAAGCTCAAATAACTCAAAGCTCAAATACTGATGTAGAGTCTTTTGTGACTTGATCCCTTTTTCCTCAAGAAAAAAATGAGCAAATTAAGCTGCTTGCTGCTAAAATAGCATCAAGAGAAAGATTTAACTATGAAACTGATTGACTTGGATTTTTTCCAATTAATATTTCAGACATAACTGGCATTAATTGAGAGGTTTGTGTTTTGCTTTGCATATTAATAATTTATTGTTTATTATGACTGCTATTTTGTAATGTATGTTTGTATAAAAGGTTGTTAAATATTACTTGAGCTGTCTAAGATCTAGGCAGCCAGGCTCCCTCTATAGTCGATAAAGAGAGATGAGCAGCTTAAAGGAACATTCAACTCGCATTGAAAAAAGTGTTTTGGAAAAGACTAGATGTCAGTGACTGCTTTACGTGGATAAAAATTGGTGGCTGAAGTTATGAGAAATTAATCACATTTATGTGACTGACTTTTGCTACCAGACAATACATTACAAATAGTCGTGGATGTAGTTTCTTGTTATTAGTATTTTTTGAGTACAATTTTCAAATTGTATTAAGTGATTTCCTCAAAAGCACTAAATGCTTGAGTGCTAGGTGTTTAAAAACTTGTGTGATTTCTCCCCTACCCCAGTAACTGGGGTTTATTTAGAGCTTGAGCCATGTGATTTATCAGGCTGGTGCTTGACACCTTCTGTAACACAAGATAGGTAGCCTTCTAGAAGGCTGCTTCTGTTCATTGACTCTAAAGGGAGCCTTGGTGACTAGCTCAAATGTAGAAGTTTACAACATCTACTATTTGAAAAAAAACTTTCTTGCTGAGAGCCCAGGGCTAAGGTTTTGTTTGTTCTGAACTAGCTGGCAAAACCAGCATTTCCTTCGTTTATGACTGACTTGGAGGACAGATATAATACAGTCTTGGTAAGTGAATAAAGAGCAATTGCTTTCCTTTACAAATTAGAATTGTGATATTTTAAATATTTAGCACTATTAAGCTATTTGCAACTATGCAAAAACTGCATGTTTGTGTTGTGTAAAACTGAATAGTTTCTGTAAAAGCATGTAATATGCCTCTGTGTTAAGCAAGGAAGTTAAGTTTATTAATCTTTTGTCTCTGGATATTGGTGATCATGTTATCCTGGCAGCCCTTTAAAACAGTGGGCAAGCCGTATGGACATAAATATTTGATATGAATAAAATATTACAGATAAGACTTGATGATCGTAATTCTGAATATCCTTGCTTTTTAATTAGCCAGCTTTTTTGAAACTAGTTAGTGTGACTGGGCTATTCAAGTTGCTTATGACTATTTTGATGTTTAAAGATATTCTACTTTTTGTTTAAATGGTAAACATAGTCCTTAAATTTTTATGAACATTTTTGAGGTTATTTTCTCTGTTTAGAAATTATTAAACTGCATTTCAATTTTAGATTTCAGGAAAGCTAAGATTACTATTTAAAGACATTTTTATAGGATACTTAAAATGAAATCAAAGGAGCTAAGTATTTCTGTAGATGGAGCCTTGGTGGAGGTTCTGTCAACTGTAAAACCTTCTGGATTTACTGTCCGGTTGTTGTAACTCCACATGCAGTAAGACAAGCAACCTTAAAGTGAATTTCCTATAAGAGATTTTCAGGTAAGTATTAATCTACAATGCACAAATAGGATTTGTGAAGCATGGAACAAAAGCTAGAGTTAGTAATAGACTAACCCTCTTTCCTAAGAAAAATGATGTCACACTTATTTTATTTTTTCTTCAAATACATGTTATGCTTGTTAAAAATAGGGTGACATTCTGAACTTGAACTTCTTGAGTGTTTGTCCTAAATTGGCTTTAGCCATTATCTAGAAAAGTTCTTCTCTCTAAACCCTGAAATGATCTGGCTGGAAAACTCCTTGAATTCATTTTGGTGGTTCTGGTAAACAGTTCATAAAAACATCTGCAACATAACTGATCAGAATCTGTTGCCAAGGGAATGATGGCTTAATGCACTAAAAAGAAAATCTATGATGAAACTTTTATTTAAATTTGTTCTGAGACTGTTGCTACCAATCTAGGCTAAAGGGTTCCCCTACTTGTTACTGGTCAGCCTTACAGGATAGTGAAAAGCATCACTTTTACATTTTACTTTGTTTTTTCATACCTTCAATCCTCATGAAAACTGAACTCTTCTGAAAAGTTCCTAACATTGGTTTATTTGCATTTCATTTTTTTAATTGTTCAGTCACACCTAGAGGAGGTCCATTAAAGTGAGAACCACTGTTAGTCCACAGGCTGCAAGGAGTGACCCAACTGCTGTAGTGAACAACTTTCAATATAATTTTGATGCTATTTAGTATGTATTTTCAATAAATTTTTTTTTTTAGAACTCCTTCCATTGGTTTTAGGTGACTAAAAGGCAGGACCAAAAGGCTTTAAACTAGATTAGAATGGGAAGTATAGGAGAGATTATTTGGACTGAAGTTCACCCAGAACAGGGTGCTGCTGTTTAGCACTGTCTCTGGAGATCTACAGCAAGTAAGACTGGACAGCAGACCTTTTAAATTCGTATACATTGATCAGCAGTAATAAATGTGCAGAGACAATAATTTTGAAACAAAAGGCTGCCTGTAAGCCTAGTCTGCATAAATGCAAGCTTTTTAATGAGTACAAGGAACATTTCTCCTCTCATGTTAAAAGAAAACAATAAAGCTAACTTCAGGTCCCATGGAAACTGAATTCTTAAGACCCAAACTATTGCTAGTTTTTTTTTGAGTGTCCTGTCCTCCATCTAGTTTTGTTACCTGTTGGGAAGCTATGTTTCTCTCCAGCTTCCCCTCTTCAGGTCTGTCTTGACACCTCTGATACCTGATCTTTGTATTGTTCAGTGGTGTTCATTGAAAAGCCATGTATGCCATGTTTGGTCTTGCTGTATTTACCTTTAATGGAAATGTGCTGAGAAAGTTGTTTCATGTTTCATAGCCTCCTGAATACCATCTCAGAAGCATGAATCATGTTCTGAGAAGTTGAGGGGTCATCACCAAACACCTTGCCATGTCACTGTGTTGTAAACTGTGGAATTACGGCTGCACAGACTTTATAATGTACCTGGGCTAAATTTAAATTTCAAACCTGAAATTTTCCTTCTGGGATTGTACACCCCTACTGCAATACTAAAACATTACAGTTCATAAGTGAGGCAAAAAAAGTAAGTTGTTGCAAGGAATATAGAAAGACACATTATGCTTCTAGAGAAAATTAGTAAACATTTGCAGGTAGTATGATGTTTACCTCGGTCTAAAATGTGTTTTAAGGGTTTTAAGGGTATGATAACATCTAACCGGTTTTACATTTTTTTGTTTCGAATAGTTACTGGAATTGTTCCTTGGTTGTGTCCTCTTGCTGTCTTGGTAATTACTACATAGTATGATAGTTTTCATTTTTGAGTCACATTTTGTGTGACGTGAAGGAATGTATTATTCATATTCACTTTTGTGTATGGATTAGTGATCATTGTGTTATGTAAGAAATCAAATTAGTAAAGCACTTGCTTTTAGAAATATGTAACATTTTTACATTGATGAGGAGGCATCATATTTTTGTTGCCTCATCCTGTTGTGTATTAGAAGGAAAAGAGCAGAATAAGATGACTGCATAGTGCAACACTTGCTTTAGAATTGTATTAGAAAGACCTTTGCTTGTTTTGGTTTTGTATCTAAGCAGGTCAGATATATGTTATGACCTACAGACATCTAAAAGTTTAAATGCTGCCCTCCCTCCCCATTTTTTAAAGCATAACTTTTCAGTTTGTCAGGTACAGCTTACAAGCAGAAGCAGTTAACTACAGATGTAACTTCAATGTGCGAGATGCTTTTGCTTATATTTACAAGCTTTATTTGATTCTTTCTATGCCAATGTGTATGTAGTCTTTAAGAGTCATTTCCAGTAAAATAATTGAAAGATTTTTTTAAACTTGTACACACATTTGTTGAAGACACTATGCAAATATTTAAAGCAGCTAGAAAAATACACCGTTTTTGAGAAATCATATGCTTAGTAAAGACTGGAGTAAAAGTTGCATCAGTCCTTAGTCCTCTTTTACCTATATTTTTGGTTCTTAACTGTGCATCATTTTTGCACTGTTTTTATAAGTAATATAAAAACTTCAGGCTATTAGAAAAGAGACCTTTGAACATTAAAAAACCTGTAGTTTGCTCGCTGTGTGCTCCTTTACCAATGGAGTTTTTGAAAGTGCATCTTGTGGTGGTGGTACTCTGGCAGGTCTTCACTACACAGAACTGTCTGCTCTAATGATAGTGGAAAAAGCCTGCTTTTCCACCAGCTTATTTCAATTCAGCAGGTTGTATTAGTTTCTTACTAAAGAACTTCGTTAGTATAACTACATCTGTGCTAGGTTTTAGCTGTTGTGGTAATTCATTTGTCATCCAACCTATCTAGGCTGCAAAATTGGTGAGAAAAGATTTGACTTAGATATGTCAGTTTTCCTTAGCTCCTTCTGAACTCTTCAAAGATTTTCATGTCTTCAGCTGTATGCTGAAATATCATACTTATGATATGGACTTTTTAGTAGGTACACCTGAAAAGTTTTCCTTAGCTGTGGTTTAGAATGCATGATGTAATGCCTGATCTGTTGCAGCTTTCACTCTAAGATTTGATCGAAGCAAGAATGTTTCTTTTTTCAGTGATCAGATATGTTGCTCTGGAATAAGACCTATTTCCATGCCAAACTTACTTTTCTTTAGATAGAATCTTTTTTGTTTGTCTCTTTATGATACTTATCAACTAGTGAAAGTTTTATCCCCAGCCAAACCTAGGGTTTCGTGAACAACTGAAAAAAAGGACTCCAGTGTAAGGGTGGCTAGTTTGTAAGTGCATGTAATCTTAATGTATAACATTATAAACTTTCAAATTATAAACATTAAATATTATAAATGTTAGCACAGTCTTCCTTTTTTCATAAAAAAGAAAAAAAAACCCACCACCCAGCAGCAAACACCAACCAACCACACACTAATTATTTTTTTTTAACCTGTTGACCAGGCTCCTATTCCATTTTTTGTGGATATCAAAGTAAAAAAATTGTTTCCAACCTTTAGAAGTTGAGATACAGAAAACAAGTTTCGTCTGCCTCTCTACCAGTGAGAGGTTGTAACGAAAGAGGAAGAGGAGAGAGTATCTTGGTTAGCAACAAACCCAAACCATGTGAAGGGGTTTGTAGCTATATTGGCCAGAAAGTTTAAAAAGTAATGACAAGACAACCTCTCTTTTTCATATTACCAGCTTGGCGAATCTGTTAGGATACTCCTGACGATTATACCTAATGTTCAGATGTAACACCTTGTAGAATTTATTACTAAATCCAGTCACTCAGTTGTATTCACAATTAAGATGCTTCTTAGCTGATTGTGCCTGTATAGGGATTCTGCTCAGACCATTGTGCTTTTCCTCAATAACGTATTGAAGTTCATATCCATAGCTGGGTGTTTCAAGTACTGTCTTACTCCAGCTAATCTGTTATGGCTGTTGGGTGAAAATAGCAATGATGATACCAGTGGCTTGTAGTCAGCTTTTAGTTTTCAAGACATAATACAACAAAAGTTGGTTCTTTTTCAGTAGACTAGCACCCTAGCTGAGTGTTTAACCTCTTTTTCTAATGGTCTCTTTGCTGTTAACTTCTGTTAAACTGAAGTCTTACAAAACAAGTCAACATTGAAACTTAAAATTGCATATAGTGCTTAATTTTTTTATAAGTAGTGCAAGTAAAATATGATACTGTATACCTGATTTTTCCTGTCTGACAATGTAGTATTTATTTTTATCTGTTTGTACATGCAGATACAGTCAACTCACTGTACAACAGATAAGCTTTAGCTAATGCTACTGTGATACCTTTTAGCTATGGTAATTTAAGGTAACGCTGCTTAATTTAGCCTTTGATGGGGAAGGCTTAAGATCACTTGCATTTGCTTCAGTAATATATGCACATAGACAGCATTACTGTAGCTCAGATTATTCACAATACTTTAAAACACAATAGCCTGCTCATGTGTGTGTTTGCAAAACTTAGTTGTGCATTTTTTGGTACAGAAATTGTCTTGTAAATCTAAAATTCAAAGCCCACCAGAGGTAAGTGCATTTTAAGGAACAGAAATGTAGTTTGGGGCACGAGTGATCCTGAAAAAAATGCAACTGCAGCTGTTAAGTGGAAGAAAACTTTGGAATTGTGTAGTTTGATTTGTCAGTTTATCCAGACTTAAATATTACATGGAAGTTATTAGGCAGGAGGAATCTTTACAGTTTGAATCTTTGTAAACCTTTTCTTGTTTAGATTTATTCCTCTAGGATAGCCTTAGAACATCTTACACCAGTGGTATGTCCAAACCTGAACTGGAAAGAGGAAGTGTGGCATTGCCCACTGTCCAGAAACAGGAGGAACTAGCGGCAAAGGCACTACTGTTACAGCAAATAGTGGGAAGAAAATAGACTTGCTAAACATGTTCCCAAACTTCTTGTTGAATGAATGGGAAGCAAGTAATTAAGCTGACTTGAGGAATATTTTCTAGTGTGGGCTAATTAAGTTACTCATCTGTAGTAGTGTTCTGATGTGAAGATGCTACTCAGGAAGGACCTTTTTTCTTTTTAGAGTGGACTTCTTTTGTTCAAGTGTAGTGTTTTTCAGGCTTGGGGGGTTTCTTTCATAATGTAACACCTTCCCTCTAATCATGCCAACCAATAGCTTCCTATCATTAATTGCTGGCAGCAGCTTGGTTCTACAGGGCACTACAGGGCACAGGTTATAATTATTAGCTATGGTTGAAAATGCTTGCCCTTCTCACCCTGGGGAGCCAAGCTGTTGCTAGCAATTAAAGGTAGTTAGCTGTTCCCTGCCTCATGTAAACATTTGCAGCCAGTAATTACTACTGCTTCTCACTTCTTTGCCCTGGAGGAACTGAACTCTTCCAATAATGCTTTGTAATAATTTGGTTTTGTTGGTTTTTTTTTTTCTTTCTCTTAGATTTCATTTTAATTATTGGAGTTTAACCTTATTTTTCAATTTAAAAATAATTGTGAAGTTTTTGACCTTTCATAACTCGTTTGGAACTTGTAACCATATTGGGAGTTGCAACCTAGTTTGAGAAATACTTGCTAAAGGATTATGAAGTATTTAAATGCTGTAGCCACCTTCCTCCCCCTCAAAAAAAACTTCAGTATGTTGAACTATCCCTTCATCTGTATGGCTGAACAGGTTTTTTTACCTCATAGAAAGACTTTAGGGAAGGCAAAAATGCAATTGCTTTTGTAATCATCCAAGAGAAAATGTCCCCATGCCAAGAAATTGGGTTGGTTTGTCCAGATTGTCATACCTTTGTGTTTTAGGTAGACATATTAGTTCAGTTTAGAAATGACCAGTGGATGCTGAGTTCTTGCTTGTTTCAAGATGCACTATTCTGTCTCTGTTGCTTTATTTGCTGCTCTGTCTAGAGGGCAGGGATGTAGCAAAGTTGATATGCTTATTCAAACTGCTCAGTCTATTTGATCATTCCTTTCTCTTGAATCTCTCATCTTGGCAAACACTTTTTTCTGTGTTTTCTGGTCTCCTGTAAACTCAGATTAGATTTCTGAATCAGATGCCATTTTGCCTATTGAAAACAAGTGTAATTTAGAATTATTTTGATGCAAATACTGAATTTTATTTCCAAATGTTAATATTGTGTTGACCATCTTCTAATGTCTATCTGAACAATGAAATCCTGGCCTAGTAATCTCCTGATGATGTTTTATAGTAGGTAATGAAAGTAAAATCTTCATTTAGTCTCACCCACTGTTTGGTTTAATTTTTTCATACCAGTAGGCCAAGAACTACTGTTACATGAACTCACATTGTCCCTGTGTTGCCTTATGGTGTAGAATTGTCCATTGTTCCTCTCCCCTGCCTTCCAGTATGGTCCTTCATAAAGCCTAAAATACAGTTTCATTCTCTTGCCTGGAACCTGAGTCCCATTGTAACTGAAATAGCCTCTCTTCACATTAGCTCAGTTCCTCTTTGGTTTTGGTTCTCCTTTTCAAAATATTTATAGATCACCTTTTATTATGGGGGATTAAAAGAACCCTTTATGAATAGCAATGTGTTTGGACACTGGGTCGTAGTGCGAGGCAGACTGTGCCCCTGCACTTGGTAGAACATGGAGAGAGATGGGGAAGCTGCCAAGGAAACTGCTACTCTTCATTATGCTGTTATTTCCAATAGCCAGGCTAAGAAAAACACATACTGTATTCAAACCCTGCCCTAAAATCCAATGTTATTTGTATGTCTGGCTTCTCAGACCTTACAGCTTTGCAGTTCATGGTATTAGTAGTCCTTCTGAATTACTAAGATGGTGGGTTGGCCAATAGTTGAGTGATTCTCCCAATAAATAACAAATATTTAGGTTTACTGTGATCAAGGTTGCATTTGAACTATAGGAGGACTTTTTGCCTACCTGTCACAGAGTTTACCAAATTTCTAATTGGTACAGCAAAATTCCGTCTTGTTTATTGTTATTAAAGTTGGTTAACTTGATATAACTCTTTGTGGAGTTTATTGCCAATGTCAATATTGGTATCCTTTTTTGTTGTTGTTGCTGTGGTTTTTTTGTTTTAGGCAAATGAGCTACTATTGAGTCTGCTCAGTTTTAATTCTTTCCAAAGCTTTCAACCTAAAAGTTTTCAGGGAAGTAGACAAGGGAATCTTTTTAGGTTTTGGTTTTTGCAGTCGTTTGATGGTAGTTTTGTCCTGTGTTTTACAAATTTTTTGTGTGTGAGTGGGGAGTCTTCTCCAGTTAGATTCTTGCCTTGTTTCCTGAGGAACAATTTTTAAAATGCATGTCAAGGTATACATTGCTAAGATTTCTAAGGTACCAGATGAAGTAAATATCTGAATAGAGGTAAGTTAAGTTTTGATTAATTAAAAAGTGGTCTGTGTCCAGATGATGATAGTTGCATTTTCATGTCAAAAAAACACAGCAAAAGAAAAACAGACCAACCCCTGAATTTGGTCCAATTGTTGGTATAATCAGTATAAAAGGTCCTGATCTAAATATGTGCATATATGATGAAATATTTCTTTTGGTGGTATTTACCATCTAGGTAGGTACATGTTGGTTTGAAAACATGGAGGAATTTGGAGAACTTCTGTACTTTACCTGTTTGAAAGTGTTTAATAGATTTCCCCCCCGCCCCATGTTTTTTTTTAATTTAATGTTCATAGTATGCTTTCTAAATAGTTTCATTTGTAGAGATCATTACTGATGTAATAGAAATGTCACTTATATCGAGGCACAAGTACCTCCTGTATGTTCACTTCCTCAAACATGTTTTATTTTCTCAAGTTTAGTCAGTTTCCAATGCATTTGTCGTGGTAATTCTTGTCTGTCTTCACTTAAGACAGCAGCTGAAGTTAGTCCTTTGAATATTAACTTGAGCAGAAATGTTTTTCTTATTGAGTTCTGCTGCAGTTGGTTATGCGGTTCTATCTGATTGTTAAAAGCAAGTATTCAGGAGATGCGTCTTGGCAAATTAGAACTTAAAAAGAAGCATACAAAAGCCAATGTTAATTTCTTGTTCGACAGAAATCTCAAGGGAAGTGTTAAGAGTTCAGTATTATGATGTGATTGAAGGTTTCTGAGAAATACGTATTTTCTTTATTTTTTACAGAATTCCCCAATTTATTCTCATATTTCAGTGTCTGACTTGTGATGGAAAATTTTGCTTACAAATAATTAGTAGTGCCTGAAGTTTATTTTAATTTTTTAAATATTTGTTTATTATAACCAAATAGTCAGGATTGAAAGGAAACAGTCTCGGATAAATTTTACTTGCAAATTGTTTCCTATTCCACCAATCCAGAAATCATATCACAGTGTAATACTTATTTTAGTGTAGCTTTAGATGAGGGTTGTTAGGAGTGGCCTGGTTTCTCTCCTTCTTTTTCATAGCCCAGGAAGTATCGACCGGGGATGCTGGATGAGAGGATAGTTCCGGTGGGATCAAAAGCAAGAAAATCAAAGAACCCTATCGGCTGTCTGGCTGACAGGTGTAAAACAGGAGTACCCATCAATATGGTTTGGTGGAACAGAGTCACAGAAAACAATTTACAGGTAAAATTATTTTTTACTAGTCACTTTTTCAGTATTTTGGATGCTTTATTTTAAAATTTGGAAAATGTTAGAAGCAGTTACTCCACATACAGATTGAGATTGGATCCAATATTTATCTCACAAAGTAGGTATAGTAGCCCTCCAGGAGAGTGACTTGGAGATGTTTTATTCACTTCACCCACTGCTGTGCTATGTACTCTGCTTGATTATGTTATAATCTGTGGAGGAGGAGCAAAAGTAATCATTAACTGTATTTTAAAAGCAAACACACACAACCTTTTCATTTAATTTTCATGTGAGGAAGGTTTCTAGTGATAAAATTAGTGATCTTCATTAAAATGATTGATACTTAATGCAAATAAAAAATTCCCTCAATACAGAATTTGAAGATGTAATCACTATGATCAGAAAGTGTAAATTCTTAATTTTTATGTTGGGATAGTTTATATTTCTCAACTTCTGTGTTAAACTTCATTGTTACTTTATTTCTGCATTTTCTTCAGCTCCTTAAGACGGGACAGGTACAGCTGGATATGAACAAATCTCCTACAGAAGTAACAGGTTATCCTTGGGGTGATAACGAAGGATAATTCTAGTTTGGGAGGAATCTGCTTGAGGTTCCTTAAGATCAGGTTTAGACAGAAATTATTATAGTGGTCAGAACTACAACACTGCTGCTATTACTGTTTTGCACTTGTGCGGTGCTTTTGATTCTTCAGAGATAGTTACTTTAGTCTTTCTGTGAGGGTTATGTTCCTTTTGATGTCTTCTGAGTGAAATGGGTAAATTGACAATAGACATGTAACTAGGCTTTGTGGCACCATAAAGTTTCTTTCAGTTCACTAAAGTTCTGCTATGTAAGGACCAATGTGAAGCTCATAACAGAGCCTTTCGATACCAAGTCTAGTGTTGCACTACTTGATGTTTGGACATCTTTGCATTACTGAAATTGGGAGTCATGGGCAGCATGATGCAGGCAAACTGATGCTATGTTGTGTAGGGGCATATGGGCTTAAGTCTGTTTTAAGTCCTTAACTTCCCCTTTTGCTGCAGGGGAGCAACAAAGCCACTGGGGTGGTAAAAATGAAACATTGGTAGGAGGATCAGGCATGGTTGCAGAGGAGTGGTTGGAGCCAGTGAAGCACGACTTTTCTGAAGGGAGAGAAGGCTGATGGATTGAATTTACTATGTGTATGTAATGGGAGTGCAAACCTTAATTAGTAGGTAGTTGCTTTGAGAAGAGAGAAACAGAAAATTGGTCTTCAAATTTCATGTGGATGTTGAAGGGCGGGAAAAGCCCTGTTTGTACTCATGTCCTCCATTGTTTTCTCTGCTGTTCTGTGTTGCAGCAAGGTTTGTCGTTGATCTACTCCACTTAGAGTAGAGCAGAAAAACTTAATGTTTCTGGAGGCTGGAGAGCTAGTAGTCTGAGACTTGGAGCTTGTGGCCAGGAGCAATTGTCTTTTCAGTACCTATGCCCTTCAAAGTTGTGTTGAAAGTGTGGCAGTAAGAAGCTCAAGGTCCCCTCAAGGTTAGCAGCAATAGCTTGGGATTGGGTGCAGAGCACGTGGCTTTTGAGGGGTGCAATTCCAAGCTCCTTTATTGTGCCAGAATCCCAGCTACATAATTGACTTAACCTGTATACAGCATAAGATTTTGTATTATACAGTGCAATTATGTAACTTTCCATGGAGACGTGGGACTTTAGAAAAGCATGTATATGCATATCTGGTGGAAATAAGAACAGAAGGATGTTCCAGCCATGGGAAGTAGAAGAAGGGGGAGGGATTGCAGAGAACAGTGGAGTCTGGCAAGAGTGAATGGGGAAAGGGGTAAAAACAGGCTGCAGAGAAGATTATGAGGATATATGAAGTTCTACATAGAGGAGAAACTGAATTTTATCTTGATGTTTTCATTCTGGTCACTGTAAATCTTTGTAGTCTAGTGTGAACATTTTCTAACCAAAGCTCAAAAACTGTTAAAAATTGGAGAATTTAATTATAAAAGCACAAAAAATGTCTGGGGAAGTTTGGTACATGAAACTACTTAAAAATGGGTAGTTTCATGCTGAGATTTCAGATCGACCTTGTTTTTCTACTTCAGTATATATATAATCCACTGTTCTTCAGTATTTTGAAATACAGGCTGTTTAGAGATTTTTGCAGGTGTGAATATAGGCTATACAAACTAAATTTTGGCTGATGGTGAATGCTAAGCAATAAGTAGTGTCGTGGTTTAGCCCCAGCCAGCAACTAAGCACCACCAAATCATAGAAATGATTTTTTCAAATATTTTGCATCAAGAACACGGACTTTTAAAACCTTATAGTTTTTACAGTACTTTGAAGTATTTTGTTAAAGAAATGTGGCAATATTCTGTCTTTACAAGTTTACTTTTTAGTGAGATTTACTTGCTAAAATGTAACAAAACTTTGCTAGTAGTTTTATTTGTCTGAGCCTGTGTTCTGGTTTTGAAAAAGTCTTTAGCCAACAAATTTTACCCAGTTTTAATGAAACTGTCTCTAACTCTTCTGAAAGAGCAGTAGAGCTATATGGCTAAGAATGTTGATTAATTAAAATTTATTAGAGCTTATTGTATGCATGGTGTGATGACTTGTCACGGTAATTGCGATAAGGAAGCATGTTGCACAAATTCAGTAGTGGGAGGGAA